CATCTATATGCAATGTGTGTCACCCAGCTAGCCTGTAAATTCACACGTTCATGTACTCACATCAGCACGTTTATGGGCTGTGACAGTGTGAAAAACAATGGCATTGAAGAAGGTCCTCTGACCCAAGGCAAGAAGCCCAAGTCTTCATCTCTGCTTTGCTCTAAACTTTGTGTGTCCTTGGGCAAGCTGATTTCCTCTCTATGGGGCTGTGTCCAGTGGGGGAGGTATGGAGGCCCTTGTCATCCAGACATTCACTTCCTCAAGCATTCACCCACTCATTCACTGATTGTATTCATTCATTCTGCCAGTCATTTATCATGGAAGCTAAGCAAGCCTGTCCTCTGGGTCAGGATGCCAAGGAATCAGAACAAAATCAAAAGCACACTGGGCAAGACAGACATACAGCACTTGGTATACAATGAGGTGCATGGATACATGTACTCATGGGAGGCCAGGCAGCTGCTGTAGGAGCCTGGAGGCGGTAGCAATCAATTCAGATCTAGAGTGGATTTTTTTGAAAAATGATCTTCAAGGTTGGAAAAAGGCAAAGAAATGCTGCCCAACAACTTGCCTTTCAGGTTTTTGGGTGTGTGCAGGCTCTACGGGGCCGGCCTTTTTGCTTTATCATTTTCACTTGGCTTTCCGTAAGAGTCTTACTCCTTTGGTCCTGCCCCTTCAAAGCTGCCTCTCAGGGGCTGCTTGAGAACCTTTCTAAATGACTTCCTGTTGCCTAAGAGTAAGCCCACGTTCTTTAGCTTGGTAGTAAGCTTCCTCTCACCAGGCCCTGTCGTCTTCCAGCCTCTTTGCCTCTTGCTCCCCTGTGTGACCTTTGTTTCAACCCTGTTCAAGTATGCAAATGCCATGGCCTCTGCCCTAGTGCCTTTGCTCATGCTGTTCCTCTGGCGTAGAATAAGCTTTCTCCTCTAGAAAGTCTCCCTACACAACACACCGCAGTTAGCAACTTCCTTTTCTACGCTTCCGTTATTCTTGATATACCATCACAATGACTGCACTTAATCACTTGGTACTGAAATTATCTGCAACCTCTTAAATGTAGGGATTCTATCTGCATGATTTCTGTAATCCATGTTCCCCAGGCTGGGCACCTGGTAAAGGTCTGATGGATATTTGACTACATAAATGAGTGGAAGAAAGAAGACTCTGTTGAGAGAAAGAGGATAGATTTTAATTTAATTAAGCTTGATGCATCACAGACCAACCAGCCCTATCTTGCTTTTATTTACTCCATGCATCATGTCTATAAGATCTGGAGTAAAGAGGGAGGAGGAAGAGGAGGCACAATGGATTGGGGTAGGTTTGCCTTTGTGGCCCTGCAAACAGAATGATTGATTTTAGTACCTAATATGATAATAAAATTAGCTGTTAAAACACCAGCCATCCCTGAACTAAACAAATCTAACTCCCTGTTGTTCATCTATCAAACCCCTAATCTTCGAAGCCCTGGTGGAGTGGGCTGCTTTGTTAACCCTCAAGCGTGATCCTTCTTCTATTATTGCATGCATATTGTATTTGGCTACCTTAGAACCCATGCTCTGTAAATTTGAATACAATTTTCTGTAGGGGATATATAGCACTGCACACATTTACTCTAAGTGATTAAAATATTTTTATGTTGCAACAGATACAGCCTTAGTATGGAATAAGATCTAAAATGATACAAGAATTTTCAGAATGAAATAGGACATATAGAAACGATAGGTAGCCTTTATTGAACACTAAATCCAAGGCACTGTGTTCAACACTTTCTATACATTACCTTCAATATTTTGCCAACAGTTGGCTGCTTTCATTCTCTGCCATGTTCCCAGCGGTGAGAGTTCTAGCCCTTCTACTGTTCGTGGCATGTGAGTGGGAGAGTTTGGGAAGGGTTGTTTACTCGAGGCCCAATAATCAGCCTGTTGCCGAGTCGAACCTCAGTAAAGGCTGGAGAAAAATGGGTCCCATTCTCTGTGCAAGAATATCCTTTTCCACCTCCCTGCCCGGTCAATTCTTATGTGTCCTTCAATACCCAGTTTAAATGTTCCCTCTACTGTGAAACCTGTTTTCTTTGGCTCCCACAGCCCCTGAAATTCTCTCAGACCCAGTACCCAGCAACTGGATTATCACTCTGCTTACTGTTGGTGTTTACCATTGACTCCCCTAGAAGGAAGGCAGCTCCTCGAGGGATGAGTCGAGTCTGACTTTGCAGCGCCTAGCAAAGGGTTTGACACAGGGAAGCTTTCAATGAACATTTGTTAAGTGAATGAAGTAGTAAAGTTAGCGAATATTCAGAACTGACCCCCAAAAGAAGAAGTGATTCTGTATTCTGTCTGTCCAGGCCCATTTTCTTAACCTGTGCAGTGGGTTGAATGATGCCCCCTTCCCACTCTGCCCAAATGAGTCCACACTCTAATCCCTGGGAACATCACCTTCTTTGGAAAAAAGGATTTTTGCACTTAAGGATCTCAAAGTGAGGTCTGGGTTATCTGGGGGGACCCTACAATTAAAGACAAGTGTCCTTGTAAGAAAAAGAAGACACGGGAAGGAGAGAAGGCACGTGAAGGTGAAGGCAGAAATTGGAGTTATGCAACCACAGGCCAAGGACTACCTGGAGCCACCAGAAAAAGCAAGGAAGGATTCTTCCTTAGAGCCTCCCGAGAGAGGGTAGCCCTGGTCACACCTTTGTTTGGGGCTTCTGGCCTCTAGAATTGTGAAAGAATAAATTCTTGTTGTTCTAGGCCAGTGGTCAGCAAACTCATTAGTCAGCAGAGCCAAATATCAGCAGTGCAACGATTGAAATTTCTTTTGAGAGTCACATTTTTTAAACTTAGACTTCTTCTGATGCCACTTCTTCAAAATAGACTCGACCAGGCTATGATGTTTTGTGGAAGAGCCACACTCAAGGGGCCAAAGAGCCACATGTGGCTCGAGAGCCTCAGTTTGCCAACCATGGTTCTAGGCTATCCAGTTTGTGATAATTTGATATGGCAGCCTCAGGAAACGGATTGAGCTTGGAAACAGAATAAGTGTTTTCTGTGAAATTCCACCAGATCATGGCACTACGTGAGTTGAGCCAGATGAGATTTGGGATTTTTTAGCTACTCCCTTCTCAACAAACACCTGACCACACACCCTCTCACCATGAGGAACCACTCTGTTTCAGAATAGGAGACAGTATGTCATTCATGTTAGCTAGCTCTGGGGTCAGATCCAAAGTATCTTTAGGCTTCTGAACACCCTGGAAAGATAGTATGCTTACCTTTTATTACAATCTTTTTAGTGCAACTATATGTGAGGTCTTGAACTAGGCAATTTGCATGTGATGACTTATTTAATCCCTGCATCCATCCTATTACTATTTATAGATGGGAAAACTAAAGCTAAGAGAGAGGAATTGGCTTGCCTAGGAACACATATTTAGAAGGTGACAGAGCCAAGATTCCAGACGTGCTTGATTCCTGTTGTTTTTGACTTTAAAACACTGTGTTCTTTGAGCTACCATCAATCCAGGTGGTGGAGAAATTCATAGTGGGGTGAGGTTGGGGGCTTGGGGAGTAGGGTAAAGGCAGTTCAATATCCTAAAGAATGATTCAATGCCATTTATTATAGACATAATTCCTCTAGACACTATCACTGTGATCAAGGAATCTTCATGGAAGAGGTGGTGTTTAAAAACACTGGGAATCCAGAGATAAATGACAAGGTTCCTTTTCTTGTGGAATTCAGTACATATGTGTGTCTACATATGTATATCGCACATATTAAAAGACAATGTAATAGAATAATCAGGAATATGGTGGATACAAGATTCCTAACCAGGGTCCCAGAATGAATCAGAGAACCCTTTTGGGAGAAGGAATCCCAGCTCCAGATGAGATGTGGTGGGTAAACATTCGGAGAAAAGTAGCGAAGGTTTTCTAGGGACAGCAGAAGCAACACCCTCATAGAGATGAAACAGAGACCTGGTGCCTGGCATCCCTTGTAGCTCCGTACAGCAGTTAGAGGCGTGCGAGGAGGGGCGTGGGCCTGTGGGTTAGAGTTGGTCTTGGAAGAGCTGGTGGGACTGCCCGACAGGTTTCTGGTCTTCACGCATCCTGCGTGGTGCCTTTCTGCCAAACCATAAGCCCTTCCTTTTCAGCCCCTACACGTTGACGGCAGCACTCGAGGAAAAGAATGTTTAGGGAGCCTGCCACTAAGTGCAGCCCAGCCGGCGGTGAACGTCTGCAACTATCCCCACCCACCAAGCGGGAAGGGTCCCCCATCCTCTTCGGGAGGCTGGTTACTATGGCAACTAGGTTAGGGCGGAAGTGGCTCCGACGACCGACTCTCACTCATCAGGTGACTCGCTCGCCTCCAGCACGTGACGCCGGAGCCCAGGCGCACTCTGTACTTAGCCAGACCCCGCCCCTCTTCCTTTTACTGACAACTGACAGCGACCCAGAGCAATGGGCTTTATGGTTCTGACAGGAGACCCCGCCCTGTGGCAGGGAGAGAACCAATCAGACATGGGGGGAAAAAAGAAGCACCGCCCCAGGTCTCACCCGGGTTTGACAGACGCCTTTGAGGCCAGCCTCGGGTCCCTCCGCCCCATTCCATTCCGGCCGGCGGAAGGACAGACCTTTGACCCAATAGCGCGCCTCCTGCCTGTGGTTGGGTCCCGCCCCTAGAGGGGCTGAACCAATCAGCGCGCCGGGTCTCGGCGGGTCGGCGGGGGTTGCACTGCGGTAATATGGCTCTTCCTTAGGCAGCGGCGGCGGCGCGAGGCAGAGAAGAGCAGCAGCGCTGCCCCTCCGGCGGCGGGTGTCTGGGCTGCAGGGGCTCTGCGGGCGGGTCGCGGCTGAGCGGCGGCAGCGGATGCCGGAGGAGCGCCGGCCCCGCCGCCTGGCGGACCCGGGTCAAGATGAGCGTCTCCGCGGCGTCGATCGGGGGCACGGTCCCGCCGCCGCCCCCGGGCCCGGCCGCCGCCGCGCTGCCTCCCGGTGCCGCCGCGCGGGCCCTGCATGTGGAGCTGCCGTCTCAGCAGGTAAGCCCCGCGGGCTCGCCGCGCTCGGGAGGAAGGGGATCCCGTGGGCGGCGGCGGCGGGCTGTCCCTGTGCCGGCGGGAGACCCCGGGAAGTGGCCGGGAGAACTCGGGGGGGCGGACGCGGTGTTGTGAGGGGAGGGGTCCGGCGATGGCCGGTCCTCGGGAAGACCCCGCAGTCCGAGCAGAAGCCCCGTTACTGGAGTTGGGCTGTGTGGAGGCGGGAGGTAGCCTGTGACACTCCCGGGGGGCCGGAGCCCGCCTGTCACCCGGGCGGCTGGGGATTCCCTTGCGGAAACCCTCCTCCCGCTCATCCCCGGAGGACCGGGCCCCGGGAAGCCCTGTGGTCCCGCCGGAGCCTGGGACCGCGCTGCTCCTTTCTCTCCCCACCGGCGGAGGAGCCAGTCGCTACGCTTTCCTACCGGAGAAGCGAGCAGCCTTGACGGTGTCTAGCATTTACTTTTATTCTCTCCTGATGATGAGCCGCCCCCCTCAGCTTCCCAAGAGAAATCTTTTGAGACTTTGGGGTTGCCTTCCTCATCTCAGACCCCCTCCCAAGGAACGCATGTTAGCAATGGAAGGAGGCTCTTTCCTATCTCGTTCCTTCAAATGAGTAACTGTGGAAGGGGGATTCGACGTATATCCATGTCCCCATCCGTTTGCAAGAGCCTGATGGCTTCTTGGGTCCACATTTTAGGGAAAGAGATCTGAGAAGATTTGCATCGCTCACATATCTGTAGAGTACTCCTTCCCTCCTTCTCTCCCTGGCCCCCCACTTCTTTCTATCCCCCGAGAGGAGACTTTGCAGGAACATTAGCTTTAGAGAAAGTTAAAGAACCTTGCATCCTCTCTATTCCTCCTTCCAAACAGAGGACCTCAGAAAAGCTGTCCGCTGTTGAGAGTTTACCTTGTTGGGTTTGTGCTCTGTGCGACATGGCTGATAGTTCATTTATTAATTCTCACAACTCTGTGAAATAAACTATTTTATTAGTCCCATCTTGTGGAGTTTGGGAAACTGAAAGCTCCATGCAAAACCGCTTGTTCAAAGCCTCGCGTTTAGTGGGTGCCAGCGCTGGGTTGCAGCATCCAGCGTCTGACTCGAGCCCATGCGCGTGGTTTAGACCTTGTGCAACTACCTTCACACAGGACAGAGCATGTTCCTTCATACCTTTTCTCCAGCCTTCAGTTTCTGTCCTAGTACTTGGGAAAGGTACATAAAGAGGAAAGCAGAGGTTGGAGGCAGAGGGTGGATGAGAGATGGATCTGAATACCGGAAAGTGTATGGGGGTAGGGTGGGGAGAGAAGGGGCTGCTAAAGGGAAGAGGGGATTTGAGATAATAGTGGTGGCCAATGAGTTGAATTGTTTGCAGAAGCAAGGTAGGTGTGTGTGTGTGTGTGTGTGTGTGTGTGTGTGTGTGTGTGAGAGAGAGAGAGAGAGAGAGAGAGAGAGAGAGAGAGAGAGAGAGAGAGAGAGAGAGAGGGAGGAAGTGGGTTTAAAAGACTGGGATAGTGTGTGTCCTGGTTTTGTGGTGCTGTGGGAAGCGAATTTGTGGAGAATATTAGGAGTTTGAGAGGAGTGAGGTTTGGATTGTATTTATGAGGTGCTGGGAAAGAGTACAAGGATTGAGGGGAGAGGAGGGGAATGAGTGTTGATGTGAACGCTATGTGTGTGTGTTGTGTGTGGGTGAAGAGGTGGATTGTGAGGCTGGATACTGGGAGAGGCAGTGGTGGGCACTGTTACAGGCAGCCTGGAGAAATCCTAAGCCAGTGTTTTCCAAAGTGTGGTACTCATACCCCCAGGGGTACGGTAAGAGTGTGGTGGGGGTACGCGTTGCACCGGAGTTTGGTGGGGATATGCACTGCACCGTGCTTAGCTGCGCCCAATTCTACGTTCTCACGAGTACGAGGGGTACTCAGTGTTACGAAAATTATAGAAGGGGTACACATATGTCAAAAGTTTGGGAAACACTGTCCTAAGGAGTTGAGGACCTAGAGGGGTTTAGTTTGGGCAAGCTTTGGGAAAATGTGGAATTAGGAAAGAGGAAGCATCATTTGGTTCACAGAGTCTGCTCTTTGATAACAGTTCACAGTTTAGCATTTGAGGAAATAACCCTAACATGTTGTCCATGAAAGAAATTCAACTGTGTTTTAAAGTATTTATCAAATTTTTGGATTTGTGATGAGGAATATATACAGTGACTTAAGTGCCCAGTGAATGCTGTATGAGCGCCAAGGATGGTATTGCCAGCTTTCTGAGGGCGTCACCCTTCTCGGATTCTTGGAAGGCACCTTATAGTGTAACAGAAACACTTTCACTTTTGCAGTTGATATTAATTTAGCTTTCTGGGTCCAAAATGCCCAAGTTTTGGGGGTTCTAAATATGTAACATTAAAAAAGAAACATTTTTGTTAGATTATTATCTGTATATAGTAAACTGCACTGATGACTAGTATACAACTTGATGAATTTTAAGTATACATCTTGATGAATTGTCACAAAGTGAACAGTTCTGCAACTACTTTACCTGGATTAGGAAATACATAATTATTAGCCTTCCACAAGTCCCTTTTATGTTCTTCCCTTCTCTCTCCCCTTTTCTCCGAAGGAGTCATTATGCTGGTTTCTAACACGAGAGATTGGTTTTTGCCTATTCTTGAACTGTCTATGAATGGAATCATGCAAAATGTATGATTGTGACTGGTTTCTTTTGCTCAGTATTGTTTGTGAGAGTCATAGGATGTGTGTGTGTGTATAAAACTTTCTGTTAGCTTTAATTCATTGTCTTTTTATTTTTGCTTGTGGCTTTTGCAAAATTTCAAAGGCTTAGATAAGCTGGAAATCCAATTAATACCTTTTGGCAATCATGTAATTTTAATAGATCCCATGCTATTTAATAAAATGTTAATATTTCTAAACAAGCCAACCCAATTGATTTAGGATTTCTACTAAAGTTGATTACTTCAAAGCGTAGATCCAGTGGTTCCTCAGCCTATTTCTAAGGCAGAGTTTTTCAACTTGGGCACTGTTGGCATTTTGGGTGGGTAGATGGATGGGGCTATAAGATTTTTAGCCCCACTCCTGGCCTCTACCCACAATGTACCAATCGCACCTGCCCAGTCCTAGCAATAAGAAAATGTATCCAGATGTTGCCAAATGTTCCTTAAGGGGCAACATTACTCCTGGTTGAGAACCACTGTTCTCAAGTATACTTTCATTTTAAGATAGAGAGTATCACTGTTATTACTATTCATTTATTCTTTTTTATTTTTTAAAGATATATTTTATTGATTTTTACAGAGAGAAAGAGAGAGGGATAGTCAGAAACATCGATGAGAGAGAATCATCGATCAGCTGCCTCTTGCACACCCCCTACTGGGTATGTGCCTGCAACCAAGGTACATGCCCTTGACCAGAATTGAACCTGGGACCTTTCAGTCCGCAGGCCGATGCTCCATCCATTGAGCCAAACTGGTTTTGGCAGTTATTACTATTCATTTATTCTATTCTTCATTAATCTCTTTGCTTCTAATGACTGTAATGCTATAATAGATTAGTTCCAGAAGTATTGGATTCCCCTCTCCCCCCATCTTCCTCCAGAAAAAAGACTTATTTTTGCTGAAAGAAAGCTAATAAATTATATATAATACCTAATTTATTTGCCTTATTTTAATTTACTTGCCTTAAAAAAAAACACCGAAAAACTTTAGTTAAGGCTTTATAAATCCTGATTCTTTATACGTATGAGTACTAACTACAGTCTGATAGCTGCTTGACTGTCAAATGCAACTACTACTTAATCTTTGCCTCCTTTTGCTTCTCTGTGATCTTATTTTAGCTGTAATTTCAGATTGAACTAGTCACACATTTTGACGACTGTTTTTGCTCTGTAATTTTTGGTTGTGGTTCTTAATTACCTAGTGAAGATGAGTTCATTTGAAGAATAACTTCCTTTACACCCTTAGAGTTAGGAGTTTTGAAATAAAAAGTGTGTTTTGTGATAGAGACGTTTAATACTTCCTTAAAAGTTTAATTGAGAGTATTTCTTTCCTTCCTAAAGACTTCCTCACTTGTGTATAACTTAACTAAGTTTCTCAGATATTTAGAGTGGGTGTGCTTTTTAGTGATTGCTTAGTGACCCCTTTTTTTTGGGGGGGGGTCACATATTTCTTTAAGATTTGGTAAAACCTGTAAACTCTTTCCTTAGAAAATGCACTTATATACATACATAAACACAATTTTGCATGCAGGTTTGGTTTTCTTGAAGTATAAATAGAAGAGCTCAGATTAAATAACCCTAGCTTACTTTAACCCCTTTTAAAATTTTTTTAAAAAAGATTTTGCAATTTAATATTATTTTTCTTAGTTGTCCATGTATCTATCTATCTATCTATCTATCTATCTATCAACTATCACATTTTGCATAATAATATTTAGTTACTAGTATGTTTAACCCCATTTGTAAACTTTTGGACTCCAATTTTTCTCTATTACATTGTTGCAATGAGTATTCATATATAATTTTTGAAGGGCAAATTTAGAGCAGTGAAATAACTCAAAAGAGGTATATATGTGTGTATATACACCCATATATAAATAATGTATTTTATATATAACAATTTTAGCTTTAGAAAATATTAGCAGTTTCCCAAAAAGGATATGCCTATTACACTGCCACCAAGTTATGAGAGGATCTGCATCTTTACTTTTTGTCAACTTTGGGCATCATAAATCACATAAATCATCTCAGTGTTTTCTAACCCAATTTTTTATACAGGTTTTATATATGTATTTTACCTACATATACATATACATACACATACACATACAGGGGTAGACAAAAATAGATTTATAGTTATGAGTACACCATCCAGTTTATTCTTATATTATTATATATTAATTGTATTATTTTCCATATGAATAACTGTAAGCCTACTTTTGCTTATCCCTTTATTTTTGTTATTTAAATGAGCATTTCTTTGATTATTAGTTATATTTTAATACCT